AACACTTAATCAGAAAGAGAAGACAGAGAAAATGGTGGGGAAGAAAGTACAAAAGAAATATACGAAAACATCCCAGAGGTGAAGGATGTGCATTTTCTGATTGGAAGGATCCACTCAGCACAATGGTGAAAAAAAAAGCCTCCAGCATAACACATTGTCATGAGATTTCAGAACTCTAGGAATGATGAAAAGGATTCTAAAAGCTTCCAGATCCAGAGAAACAAACATAGATCCTCTACAAATAATTGGGAATCAAAAATAGGTTACAATTCTCCAGATCAGCCCTTGACACTAGAAGACTCTGCAGAGACGTATCTACATTCAGAAGGCAAATAATTTTCAGCATAGACTCCTATACACAGCCAAAGTATACATGAAAGTCAAAGACAGACTAAAGACACTTTTGAGTATGCAAGGTTTCAAAAAAATTAACTTTCTATGTGTGCATCCGTTCTCATGAAGTTCCTGGAGGACGAATTTCACCAACCAAGCAACAAAGAAAACATACAGAATCCAGCAAACAGAAACCCCACCAAAGAAAGAAGGTATTGAAGCTAACTCAGATTGATAGCTCTATAGAAGGTTTAGCAAATGGGCAGCTCTGGTTTGTACGGGAGAACAGAGGATTTCTAGAAATCATCTACAGGAAAAAAAAATGTGACTAATAATACATGTGATGTGTTTGATGAAGTAATCTCACTGGCAATAGGGACATTTAAACAAGAGTGACCAATATAAGAGCATTATAAAGGGAGAAGTTTAGGTGATTACGAGAACATAAAATAGAAAGTCCTAAGCTGGCCTAAGGCAGCGACGTTCTCTTTGAGGAAGAGATGTGTAAACTAATTTAATCATTTAAATTAATTTATTAAATACATAATTTAGTCTTATTATTTAAGACTAAATAATGAAAGATGGTAGAAGAAAGAGAAAGGTGGAGAGAGTGTGAGGGGTGAAGAGGTTATTCTAGGCAGGGGGAATTATTTATGCAACGGCCTAAGGCAAATGTGAAAATGGCTCATAGAAAGGACTGAAGGGAATGCAAAATGCTTGGAGCATAGAGTACAATCGAGAAAATGATGAAAGGTGTCTTGAAAGGTAGTGTAGGCTCATGGCATCAAAGGCCTTGTACACCATATTATGCAGTGGTTTAGGCGAGAGATTATGGTAGCAGAGTCTGAGGTGATAGCAACGGACATGAAGGGAAGTAGACATTTGAGACATGCATAAGAGGTAGAATTAAAAAGTGGATGGTGGATTGTACACAGAAAGCGAAGGACAACGAGGAATCGGTGGTGATTCTCAGGGTCTTAGGGCATGTGTGTGGATGGTGGCGCCAATTGCTATGATAGAGAACACAATGTAAGAGGCAGTTTTGATGAGGATAAGGAGGAAGAGGGGGAGTTGTTCTTGCCATGTCTAAGTGGAGAAACCCACGAGACAACTAAGTAGAGATGTCCAGTAGGCAACTGCATATCTGTGCCTAGAGCCCTGGAACAATCTGGGACTGATGGAGATCTGAGAATTGTCATGGAGAGAGCGGCGGAAGCCCTAGGGATGAGCAATGCCAACTATGGATAGAGCATGTGTCAGAAAACTTATGGGATGGGGTAGAGGGAAAGGAGTCTTCAAAGGACAAGGAAGGAGAGCCATGGGAACAGAGGGCCAACTGCAAGACTGTGTGCGACGGCAAGGGAAGACACAGGGGCTATGGGAGCGGCTTTGTGGTCAAAGTCCTATGGAGTGTGGGTAGGTCAAAACGAATGTGGGGGAAAATATCCACAAAGAGTCCTGTGAATTTATCACTCCCAGATTTCCTCCTGGATATCTCAGTGACCATTAAAAAATAATAATAAAGAAAGTCCCTCCAGAGCAGAACTTAACAGGAATCCTGGAAGTTGTATAACATACAGATGGGCTTTTGGAAAACTTCAGATTATGATTCCGACCGTATGATGCACTCACTCATTAAAATAACTCCTTTGATGTTGCCCCCTTGCTTTTCTTTTTCTTTTTTTTTTAATTTGCTATTTTTCCTTCCCTTTTTAATGACAAGTCTCAGAAACTCTTTCCGGAAGGCTCAGAGCTTTCCCTCTGCCTGTGCCCCACAGAGTCACCCCAGGACCATGGTGAGTG